AAACCTTTTGTAAAGCAGTACATTTTATTACTCTCCGTCTCATTCTCCAGATCAATTGAAGTCTTATATTTATGCAATTAAAATGCCTCAGCATGAAGCAATAGTTTTAATATTTACTTTACACAATCTCCTTCACTGGAAAGAAAATTCTGGGTTGCATTGATCAAATCCCCATTTTTAAAGCAGGGAATTCTTCGACACCCACGGAAAGGAATGAACAGAGACACATGCACACACGCACACACTGTACAAAAGTTTCACCAGCAATTTTAAAGAATCCAATACTGTTATTATTTTGCTGTGTTTCTATTAGCATTTTAAAAAACAGTGGGTGGATATGGGCAGCTAAGGAATCCTTGTAACACATTCTGCTGTGCCAGGGAAAGGAACAGTAAGGTCAGAATATATGTTAGTCCAAAATTCTCCTCCACAATTAAAAAATGACCTAGAATGACCATTGGTTGCACTGATCTACAGGGATCACAAAGAAATCATGCCTGAAACACAGTTAGCTGTAGATAATGGATGTGCCTCTTTTGGTATTCCAGGACAGGTGATTTATTAAATATATACATAAATAAATACATATTTAATTGATGTGGTTAATGATAAAGCAAGAGTTTATCTAGAATGCAAACATAGTAACATACAAGATTGTAATATATCAAATCAGACCATTAAACCATACAGACCAGTATATGTTAGGCCATGAATGAAGCCAACAGTGCAGCATCAGGGGATCGTTTTCCCATGTACATGGTTATCTGCAGAACTGTTTGCTATGCAATCCCAGCATGAAAAAGCTAATTCTTGAACACTGTTATTAAATGGATGGTTTAGATAAGATGCTGGCCCGGCTATTGGGCTTCAACATTAGTTCATCAGTGCATCCTGTATTCTGCTGTAGTTGGACCCAGCTGGGGAAATGTGGAAATGGTAGCCATGCTATTCTCTCAGGACAGCTAGGCCACAATTTACAGTTATGCCCTGTTGCAGTAGATGGCCCTGGGCCTCATTCAATCTGCTAGACATGAAGTGCTACCTGTTATTCTGTCTGTTTTAAGAAAGACAAGTTCTTGTCTAACTTTCCATATGCACGTCCTTTTAAGTTATTGCTCCATGAACACAGATATCTTGGTGGACAAGTATTTGGAACATAGACCCAGAAGGTTTTCTGGAAAAAGAATGTGAAAACCACTGGTCTGCTTTCAAAATCTTAAATGAGTCTTTCCTAATATTTCTCTTAACTGGAAATGTCAGTGATTGACAGAGACTTTTTGCGTTCCCCCAAACTATAGTCTACTGAGCTGTGAAAATTATGTAGAAAGATTCCCTCTAGACATATTTGTCCACAACTTCCATAATTCCTAGACAAGACAGTGAAAAACATCTACAGGCAAAAGGCAAAATGTGGAGATCTTTTCTAGAGATAATTCCCTTGACCCAATCCTTTTCATTTTCCCCCTCCTTGCTATACCTAAACTGTAAAGAAACATACAAGTGTTTAAGAAACTTATTGATTAAATCATTTGCAATTGACTAAAGAAAAAACTGTATTAGTCACTAAGTATATTTAAATCAAAAACGCTTTAGTCTGCATTCATAACAATAATATATTTACATGTTTAAGACTGCAAAGGGGAAATAGTATTCATGTATAAAAGGCCCTCAAGCACTTACATTTTCTATTGGGTCTCTTTTCACCTGGTTTGGTTGAAATGTAATAATTTACACTGATTGAAATCATACACGAGCATACATGAGATCTTATTAAATGTTCCCAAAACCAGTTTGTGGGCTTCACCTACAAATTCCCCTCAGTGCCATCATGCCTTTGCTACTATTTAAATTAGTTTCTACCAGCTGGTATAGTGTTAAATGTGGCTTCTTTACCACTAGCCAATATATAGAAAAACAAAATTTCTAAGTGCCAGAATCTTTCAGGAAGCCAGTTTTCAATCTAGAAAACAAGCAGAGTTCCACCCATTCTAGTGCCTACAAAGACACATTATTGAGGGCTCATTATCAAGTCGAGTGAATGTGAACACAGGGAAAACCTGGTGAGCACATTGCTTTAATGCCCCCCCCCAATCAAAACCAGAACATTTCAACCAAAGAAAAAAGAAGAAGAAAAACCTCTAAGGGCATTGAAAAAAAAGTTCCATTAAAAGCAAATGTAACACTGTTGGCCAGGAGAAAAATAATCCAAAATTAATATGAAGACAATGACTACATTAAATCAATTCGGGTTTATAAAGAAACCAAAGAAAAACTGCAACCTTCTGTCAAAAAGACCCAGGGAAAAAAATGGAAGAGGTCAAACCTTTTCTTTGCTATATTTGTCCATCCAATGCTGTCCTTCACCTCACAGATTTTAATTTTAATATCTCTATCTTAGAGGCATAGGATTATAAACAGCCAACCTCTTTTCCTATTGAACCAGAGTTTCTTCCCATTCTTTCTCTTCTAGAGCTTCAGATTAGGGGTTTTAGATTTTGGAACACAGTGTATCCATGGGCATTAACTGGTCAATTTTCCTGGGAGCTGGATGGCCTGCAGGCAAGTGATAGATGTCCCAAAATAGCCTTCATATGGCAAGTGAAAACACAGTACAGCACATGAATGCATGGGCCCTTTAAGGAAATCCAGGGGAAACAAAAGTCAAAATGGAAGCCACATGACTTGTGTATGACACTGAGACATGAAAGGTCAGGGTTTGTGTCCTGACCTTGTAACATACATTTCATCATTTTTCATGATCACAGTTTATATCTGTGCCTGAATGAAATTTAGGCTTATTCAGACATGCTGAATGTGCTTTGTTGAATTGGGGCTCTTTGGATGAATGTGTTGGCTATGAAACTGAGATCAGTTTCTTGTGAAACCTATTTATACCCACAAGGAAGAGGCATGTGATTGACTGTCCAGCTTGTCCATGCTATCTGCAGAAAGGTCTTTGTGCTACAGAGGCATGCAAATGACCTTTATGATGTACAAGATGTTACAGGAACAATCAGGGCTATTTTTATCAACTCTGTCAATTTGGGCAGTCAATTTCCCCCCCACCAGTGCATACCCTACACTAGAAGTACTGGCAGCTGTCTGTTGCTCAGTAACAGGTCAAGACACAGCCCTTGAGTCAACTGCAACCCAGGATTACTCTTCTGCTTTCTTACTGGAAACCTTTCCATAAGAATGGAGAGGTTGATTTTCCCTAAATGCAAGTTGATCAGGTTTGGCTGAGCTAGATCGGTCATCAGTGTGGTGAGGAGGGGCAGACTGAGCACACAGGCAGAAAAGAGAGACACATGCTGAAGTCCCTCCCCTCTACTCTCTCTATAGTGCCCTGGTGGGGAGGCTGGGTCTGACTACACCTTGGTAGGATCAGGAATTCTGTGTCCTCAGGATTTTGGGCTGTAGGAGATATTGTTCTTTCTTGGAATCACTGCTTCCCTACTTGTAGGTGTCTGATGACACCAGTTGGTTTGGCAGCCCAGCTCAGAAAAAGGGTTTGGTCCAGGGAGTCATGGCCCTCCACAGAATTTTACACAGTGTCATCCTCCTCCCAAAGTTTACACCCATAGCAGCCCAAGAAGTATCTTTGTGTAGGTCTTTTATGTATGTAAATTGTAGCATACATATAGTACAAGTTTGCCTTTTGTGGCACTTTCCTCCCGTGCTTCAGCTCTACGGGTACAGAGAGTTATATTGGCCCAGAGATATTGGCAGCCCTGACAAGCTGCAAAAGTGATGGCCACTAAAGTTCATGAGCTCAGTGTAATTTATTTCCAAATATTATGGTTCAACGCATTCCTTAAATTTTTTTTTTTAATCCGATTCATTTTTTTAGCCTCACGATTTGCTCTGGGAAAGCTTCAGCAACATGAGAAAGAGGAACTGATCGTTAGCTATTGGGAGGAGTGTGTGAGAAGATGAGTTGACTACTTGGATGGGGGACAACCTGGAATTCCAGAGCTGTTATCTAGATTGGGAAGTTGAAAAGGTAACCAGGAAAGCAATGGCAAACTGCTTCTATACTACTGGCAGAGAAACTGCATGTATGTAGTTGATTGAGAATGTGTCTGACTATCTCACCTATAAAATATCGACAATTACTTTCCACAAACTCTCCTTCACATTAGAATCTCTTAATTGAACAGATAAAGGTATCTGACATAAAACAATAAGAAATCCTTGTATATAATTCATTGACACAAGATCTGATTATGATTTCTAGATTACTTATCTAAAAGGGCATTAGATACATTTAGCAGGATATTCTAGATGCACCCTCCAAGTTCAGAAGCAGCATACCTCTGCATGCTCTATACACTCTGCACACTAATAAACACACTTCTTTATGTGTGCCTATATTCACAAATATTAAATCAATTTTAAAAAGAGAGGTAGAATTTAAAAGGGGTGGTATAGAATTTTCAGCAGGATCTTATGATTTGACTTTCATTCATTCATGATAAGGGTAGCCCACAAATCCTCAGTACTATGTACACACATCCATTCTGGCAGTTACTTTTTTCCCATTTTCCACTTTTTTCCACTTGTTCAGATTGCAGGAAATCCAGTATGCTTTTTTTTTTTTTTTTGCACTATCTTAGAAACGAATAACTTTAGCTTCCATAAGGTAATGCTTATGGCATTAAACATCTTGGAACAATTACATTAGGGCTTCTTGAAGCATTCATGGACGAACCTGTAAATCTTACCTATCTGACTTCTATGGATATAAAACTAAGATTTCCAGTATGAGATACCTGTTTTATTGGTCTTGATCTGAAATCAAAGGTATATCCCCTGAAAAATGAAATTTCACTGAATTTAAGCATGAACCTGGTGCTTTTGTTCCATTAGAATGAGGTAAACATTTCCCTGTTAAACCATTAAGCTTTTTCTATGAATGTATGAAAGCATTTGTTGGTCCATATTCCCACCACAAGGAATAAAAGACATGGATACTTGGATTTTTTACAGAATTATTCTTCAAGGGCTTGGTAACTCTTCATTTTCTACTAGATAATCTTTCTTTGCATAATTGGCCCCCCTGATTAACCTCCATATTCCAAGATAGGCATCCTTTAGTGAGTTTCTGTTAAGTCCTTCAAAGCTACCACCTTTTGGAACAACAGCAGCATTTTCTTCTTCTCCAGTGCTGCCCGTCTCATGTTTATTTCCATTTGCTGACTCCTCCATTATTGGATCTCCAGATTCTGTCTCCTTGGGCATCTCCTCCATTAAAAAGGGTGGTTGACCTCCATCACAGTCTTTCTTCTCTTCTTCTCTAAGTTCCTCTTCCAGATCTTCATAATTACTCTGTTTTCTTGTCTCAATAAACTTGACTACACAATAAATGATGGATCCTACAGTGTTTACCACAACACCTGCTATAAATAGCTTTGTGGGCTCCACATCATTGAATGCTACCATACCAACTGTGATGGTTGCAATGCTCTTCACAACGCCAACGAAACTAGTAGTTACAGCTGAGTTAATGTAAGTACAATGAAGGGTGGTAAAATTCATGGCACAGCCCAGTAAGATACAAGCAATAAAGCTGAAAGTCATGAGGGGATCTTTCCATCCTGGGAAGGACCAGATATTGATAGCTTCCATGCTGACAAAGGTGAATAGGATGAGAAAAGGTGTGGCTGAAACTGCAATGACATATTGGGCTGTCAAGGGCCCATAGTCACTGTCTGTACTCGTCTTTTGAATGACAACCAAATATCCTGCATGTACCAACACAGCCAGAATTCCAGTCACATACCCAATGGGATCACCTGTCAGGTCACCCGCACCTGCCGATTTTGAAAGAAAGAGAAAGAAAATTTACATGCACTTGAGGTATATATTGTCATTCTTATACGAACTACATTAGTAGAAGATAGGCTTTAGTGGGCTATTAGCTACACTTGTTTTAGGAAACATGGAATAAACTGCTAGGAAGAGCTATCATCACTTTGCTTGTGAATAAACATGTCTGGTCACTGCTGGAGGAAAAATTGAACTAGGTAAGTTTTGAATAGATCTGGTAAGGGAAGCCTTATATCCCTGTATTGATGTATGAATGTTCTACTTTCAAGAAAGGCAGTAGCACTTTTTCATTGGGTGACTACACTTCCAATAATCCTTACTCAGCATAACCAGTGCAATAACCAGTGATAATGGAAATGTCAGTTGAAAAGATCTATAGGACAACAAAACCACCTATTCTAATTCTACTTAATTTGGACACGTATATGCAATATATTCAAGAGATAGATCTAGCCTTTGATATACTTTGACTCATACAGGTATAACTTAGAGGGAGTATACCATTGACACTGTGAATGAACTCTAACAGATTATTTTTTATTGCTAGTGGAAAGCATTTTCTCTATATTGAATGTCCAGATGAAGTGAAATCTTAGTAAAGCTGATGATCATTCATCAAATTTGCCTTCTGGTAACCTGAAATAAGTCATAGTGTGAGTAAAGAGAATCTAAAAATGAGCAGAACTAGACTGGTTCAAACTTAAAAATGATTAGGTCAGTGAATTTAGCAAAGCTTTTTTGGATTGTACATTCACAGCTGATTGAAGATACAGGAAATCATACATCGTTTTTTTAATGTTAAACTGTTCTATTGGTTATAATCTTTGTTGTGCAGTTCCATCAATAATTATTCCATCAGTCTGTCAAGTGGGTGTATGTGTGTGTGTGTGTGTATGTGTTTGTGTGTGTATACACATAAGGCTGTTTTGGCCGTTAGTTAACCTTTTTCAAATGACTCCTAATGACAACTTAGTCATTTTGCTGATGTTAACAGTGATGCACAATTTCTCACATTTACTGAGTTCACGTTCTAAAACCAAATTTATCTCAAGTTTATTTCATTATAAAGTTCTTTGCCTGCTGAATGCTGTTTCATTTATTAGTTTCTTTTAAAGAAATCTCATCTGGGAATTCACTTCTTCAAACAAATCTACCCAAGCAGAACGATTTATACTAGTTTGCTGTAGTAAGCATCAAGATTTGGAAGGGGCGAAGTTGTCAGTTCACAAACTATAAACCCTTCATAATCCTTATGCTTTTAGTCCTAGTTTAATAGATTATTTAAAAAATGGGAAAAGGCAATCTAAACAAAGAATAAAGACATGTAACTCTGAACGTATATGGAAGCAAGGGAAGGATGGTATCAAAATACCAACTTTATTGTTATGGAACTAGTCACAAACAGGGAAACCAATGGAAGTGAGGGGTTTCATTATTTTGTGAGACATAATTTAGGAATTCCCCAGTGTCAAACATTTCAGAGATTACCCCTTTTCTTTGAGAACTGGCAATACAGTTAGTGGCACAACAATTATAACAGTAGCACAGAGAAACCAGTTTGAGGGAACCTGGTACAGCAGTACCTGCCTGGGTTAGGGTTAGGGTTAGGGTTGTGTATATTAATTTCTTTGTATTTTACCTCAGTCCAACTGTTATGGGTAATATTCTTAAAGCATTGTGGAGGCCCTGGAAAAGGCAAAGTTAATCTGTACAAATTTTACAAGTATTGCTATGATGCTACAAACATGCACATTTTGTAAGATCGTTGTAGAAGTACATTAAAATGCTGCCTGTGATGAACCAAACTCTTCACCTTCTCTGATTATTAGTGCATGTTTCTAACTGCTTTTGAACTTCAGAAATAGAGAAACCTGAAAAAATATTAGATGCCCATCTACAATGCACTTATACAGTTTTCCTTAAAACAGCAATAGCCTGTGCTAAAAATGCTTAGGATCTCCTTTAATTAATTTTGCTGTTCCAATGATTTGCAGGAAAATTCAACAAAGGAGTATGTGCATAATGTAGGATTATTTTTTACTGTGCTAAAAATGCTTAGGATCTCCTTTAATTAATTTTGCTGTTCCAATGATTTGCAGGAAAATTCAACAAAGGAGTATGTGCATAATGTAGGATTATTTTTTATCTTTTATTTAATGGATGTGGTGCCATCCAATGGAACTGAATGCTGGGAGATCCAGATCAGATAAAGGAGAGAATTTCATCAACGTTCCATAGTTAAACTACATAATTTGCTTCTCTAAGATGTAAAGATGATCCTCTCCTTTTTAGAGATTAGTCAAATTTAAGAAGTACAATTTTATCTATTGCTCTCAGTTAATAATAATGATTCTAATCCAACAATAATTGAACATTATTACTTTAATATTAAATATTAAAAGCAATAGAACAATTTAACAAGAGGGACTGATATTTTTAAAAAGCTGCTTAAAATCATGTGGCTGCTTAAAATCAAAACTAACTATAAAATGACTGAGATAGCTGTAGTCATAATGGCTATAAACTGCCATTAGTATCAGAGGCAGCATTTCTGAACACCAGCTGCTAAGAAATAACAAGAGAGGACTATTGGCCACATGTCCTATTTGTGATGGCCCCAGAAGCAGCTGGTTGGCTACTATGGAAACAGAACTGTGGATCAGATTGGCTCTTTGATCTGATCCAACATGGCTATTATGTTCTTATGACTGTAATTAAGAATTAAAGCATAAGAGTGAGCAGAATTTTCTTCCAGTGGCAAGGTTCCTCTCTCTCTTCACTTTGTAGAATTATCAAACTAGTGACACAGAATCAAAGTTAGAGCCAAAATTAGGACATTTTTCCTATTGCTATATAGAAAAAACCATAAAAAAACAGCATAGGTAATCTCAGTGATACAAAGAGATGCTCACAATTGTATCCAGGGGCCTATTTCAAATAGTTTTCAGTGCTGGACCCTTCCATGGAAGTATAGCATGACTGTAGCATTACGCCTATAGAAAACATTCTTTTAAAACAGTTGTGAAAACAATGCCACTGAGAGGATGTAGGCTCAATATTAATATTTACAAAGACCATATGTTACAGAAACATATGTGAAAATGTGGTTGTCTACTATTGTTGCTTCAAAATGCAGTCAGGTCTGCTTAGAGGATGGATGTTTAGTTTGTTATTAATGATTACTTTTCACAAATTTCCAAGCCAAGCAAAAATCTTGTGTCCCCAGTAGAAAATAAATATGAACCCTCTTTTAATAATGATAACAAGAGAATGTCATTTAGAACTGCATGAACATTTTACCCATTTAGATTCATCCCAGCCATTTTTTTAATGTCTACCTGAACGTAAATGAGCAATCAACACAAGGATCTAACATTACATCTCAATCCCCCCCCCCCCATATATATAAGTGCACCAGAAACTTTGGTACCTCCTCCCTCCCTCCCTCCCTCCCTCCGTCTATTAAGGTGATGATAGTAGACTTTAATTATAGATTATAGAAGCAATGACACTGCCCAGGAGATCCATAATGTAACTTTTCACAAGAGTTTCTTCTCATCCTTGGCAAGAGCATGTATGTGTCAGAAAACTCAGGCAGCTGTAAGTAACACAAGGCTGAAGAGGGGGGGGAAGCAGAATTGGGAAGAATCAGCTGGACCACTTCAGGCACCAACTCTTCTCTGTACAAGAATATCATCCACGAAGGATAAAACATTCAGTAATACAATATAATAAGATATAAGATATAATAATCCATAACTGCTACTGTTATGTGTGGAAAATATGGGAAGTTATATTTTGTTGTGAATTAGAAGTTGTTGTTGTACCCACCTGTACTTATCTTTGTTTGTTTGTTTCTTCATAAAGCAGCTACGAGTGCACAGGAAAAAATATGTGACAGTGTTTTCATCCTTCTGAGCTGAAGGATGAATGAGCATTTACCATGGGAGAAAAAGCACATGAGAATCCCATAAACTTTGATCATTGGAAGACAGAGGAAGTGTGCTGTGTGCTGGTGTGGAATTAAAAATAAAAAATAGCATGGCCAAGCTAGGGTTAGGAATGGGCAGCTTCTTCACACAGTGCGTTATTGCATTTTCAGCCAAGACATACCTGAGGACACATGCAAGGAGGGAAGGCAGACCATTATGCCACTAGGTATGTATATACAGTGTATGTATGCATTAGGCATCTATATTTGCCAGGAGCCAACAACTGAGTTGCCTGCACTGCCCCATGCATTCAGTTCCAAACACATACATTTGTGCCTTTTAATGTGTGGGGCAGTGCTTAGAAGCAGGTATCAGTGGGCCTGAAGTCTTGCCAGCTGGATATGGGGAAGACTAAAGTGAGACTCCACTAACTATATGTAGGCTGGGAGAAGGCATGATGGGGAAAACCAAAGCTCAGGACTTTCATGTGTGTCTATTCACATCCCAAGGTGCTGGTCAAAGCCTCAGTGGTATGTACAATGGGGACTGTAAGAGGTAACGTAAGAGGAATTAGGTGAGAAAAAAGAAGCATGTGGAGTGTAGAGAGCAAGAGTTCTGTGAGGACTGGAAGGGGATTTAAAACAATACACAGGAAAGGACACCAGGAGGCAAAGATAGGAACTATGAGAAGATAGACTGGAAAATTAATGGGATGGGAAAACATCACTATGAGATGGTTGGTGGAGAGTGCCTTAGGAGTGTGATGATAACCCAGGGAAACATGAAAGGAGTAGGACATGGCTGGTTGGACCAGGGGAGGGGGAAAGCAAATGAAGATCCAAGAGGGAATTGGAGTGGGGGGGGGGGCAGGGATGGGTTGCCAGGGAAGACAGGACTGAGAGAGATGAGATGGAAGGTGAAGTGTGCATGCCCAGGGTTTGTGGTGGCAGCAAGTGTGAAAATAATGAAAGGAAGGGGGATTACGGAGGGACCATGCTAAGGGAGGGAGGCAGGGCTGGTGAGAAGGGGCAGAGCAGGATTTGCAAGACTCCTGGTGCAAGGAAGGGTAGCTGGGCTGCGGAGGAGCCCCGTGGAGCCTCTTCCTCTGGCTCACTCACCTGCCAGAGCAGCCCCGCAGGTGGTGATAAGGACGGCCACCGACACCCCGAGGGAGGGGATGCCGTTCTTGAGCACCAGGACGCCGATGAGGAGGGTGACGAGGGGCAGACAGCGCTTGAAGACCACGTACATGGGCAGGCTGAGACCGCGCAGGGACCAGAGGGTGAGGCAGGACTGCAGCGTGGAGAGGACCGTGACCCCAGCGAAGACGCGCACCAGGCTGAAGCTGAAGGGCGGCATTTCTAGGGTGCCCCGCCGCCGCAGCATCTCCAGGCTGAGCGCCGCCGTGGAGCTGGTCAGGCACTGCAGCAGCGACAGAAAGGTGAAGTGGTAACGGTTGAGGAGAAACTTCAGCAGGATGTTGAGCGAGCCGGAGAAAACCCCGTGCGCCACCGCCACGGAGATGCCCAACGCGCGGCCCCGGCACAGCTGCATGCTGCCCAGACGCCGACCCCTGACCGCCCAAGCCGGTCGGCGCCCCGGCTCCCGCCCCCGCCCCGCCACGGAAAGGGCCGCGATCCTCCCGCGGCCG